GCAAATGAGCTCTTATTATAGATAATGGATAAAAAACATTCAGGCTGTGTTAAAGGCCATCAGGAAATGCAGGGCTGAAAAGGAGGCCTGGGCATAACAATCCTGAAAAGCACCCAGAATATTATCTGTTATGTGACATGAGGCACGAAGTTTGCAGTAAAAGCTCAATGAGCTGGGGCCCAATTTACTGAAAATTTTCCTTCTTCTTTTTTTTTTTTTTTAACTACTCTCTTGTCCATAAAATCAAGTAAAGGGTTAGACTTGTGCTTATCAAACTAGAATACCTATGTTAGTACTCCGGCCACCGTGTAATCTTATAAATCTCCCCAGAAAGCTAATGGTATTAACAGATTCAGAGAGTAGTTTGCATTGACCAGCTGTGTTTGTTAAAACAGAAAAATGGTATATTATGGAGCAGAAGAGAAAATGCTGCCTGGATATGTATATAAAAGTTTGCACTTATGAGAAAGCAAACGTGTTTCTTACCTGGCATTCGAAACACTTTGATGGGAGAGTTTGAGAAGTTATGGTTTAAATGGTATCCCTGGGTTCTTCTGCTTTAATACTCTTTTCTTTTATGAAAAAGTTTTGTTTTTTATTGAAGTATAATTAACATACAGGGTTATATTAGTTTCAGGTGTACAACGTAAGATTCAACAATTGTGCACATTATTCAGTGCTCACCATGATAGGTGTGGTCTCCATCTGTCACTAAAAAATGTTATTATGATATTATTCACTCTGTATTCTCTGCTATACTTTTCATTTCGGTGACTTGTTTATCTTATTCTTTTAAAAGAAAATGTAAAAGTAAGAAGATGCAAGATTATCTAAGAGTTAAAAACATTCCCTGTTGTGCTTTGGAAGCCACTCAGGTCTGAGTTCCCTTGTTGTTCTTGCCTCTCTAGTTCTGCAGTGATATTTCATGTTTAGATCAGCAAGGGGCTCAGATGGTTAATAGCTACATCATATTTGCAAGTTATATTTAAGGCAGGAATGGAGGGAGGTATGAAGGAATTTTAGATTTTCAACAAGAATGTTCCGTTAACCTGTAATTGTCTTATGGTTAGGATGATGCTTCTTCGTACCTACTTGATGATTAACCAGGAAATTCAATCAAGTGGGCTAGCTCCCTCCCTGAGCATTCCTTTTCTTTGTGAAGTGATTACAGAAGACAACGGGAAAGAACAAGGGTTATTTTTTTTTTTAATTTTTTTTTTCAACGTTTATTTATTTTTGGGACAGAGAGAGACAGAGCATGAACGGGGGAGGGGCAGAGAGAGAGGGAGACACAGAATCGGAAACAGGCTCCAGGCTCTGAGCCATCAGCCCAGAGCCCGACGCGGGGCTCGAACTCCCGGACCGCGAGATCGTGACCTGGCTGAAGTCGGACGCTTAACCGACTGCGCCACCCAGGCGCCCCGGGTTATTTTTGTTCATGTTGTTAAAAAAAAATTTTTTTTTGAGTAGGTAATCTGCGTACTGGTTTTCAAATTCAGACATGAAGGGGTGTGCCGTAATTCTTTCTGTCACCTCTGGCCCCAGTGCTCCTCTCTCGAGGCAAGCAACGTTCTTAGGTTCTTAAACATTCTTCCAGAGAGATGCTTCGCATGTGTTAGTATATTTGGGTGTACTCATTCTTTCAACAAATATTGAGAGCTGCTCTGGGCCAGGCAGTGTGCAGGGGGCTACGAATATGTAGCCTCCTCCTCTTGTTTAAAACTTACAATAAAAAACAATGTGAACTTACAATAGAGCACCTTTTTTTGTGTGCTGAGAGCAGCACAATATCTCAGAGATTGTTTTATATTGGTATTTATTGAGCTGTCTTATTCTTTTAAGTAGGGACATGATGTTGTATTTTAACTTAAATATTATTCTGATATTTTCATGATAGTTCAAATACCAGAGCTTCTGTTTTCTAAGGTAATCACTCTAATAAAAAGATTGCATGTATTAAGTGCCTACTATTGCCAGATACTATATTGATCACATTCATCTCAGTTAATCTGGGTAGCGGTCCTAGGAGAGAGGTGTTCTTAGCCCCGGGGTCCCAGAGAGGTCGAGTAGTTTGCTGGAAGTTAAAGTGTTAATTAATAGTGTTAATAATCAGCCTCCTGTCTGATCTTCTAGTCTCCTTCCCATTGCAGTTCCCACACAGTGTGATGGTTCTTTCTAATATTCACTCAGATATGCACTTCGGTTTTGGCAGGAGGTTATGTTCTCCTGTCCCTGTTATCGCCCAGATTTTTTGTGATCAGTGGCTCCGTATGACAGCACCCATTGCTTGTCAGGTATGTGCGCAAGTATCCAAGGACTCCGGATGACCGTGAGTGTGTTGCTCGGTCCTGTGTTTGAGATCGGTAATGACCAAAAGATATTGCCACCCTCACATCCAATCAGATACGCCGGAGCGTTAGAAACCTGTGCAGGCATACATCCTCTTACAGTCCGGGACCAGGTGACATTTGTGTACGTTGAGAGCAGGGGCATGTGGGGAAGCCCAAGAATCTTGCAGGTGTCTCTGACCCTTTTCAGGGACCCCACGTCACTAATGAAAACTGCAGACAGATCTGGTGTATGGGTGGCCCTTTGTCCATTTGTGGACTGTGAATAAAGAAGCCTAGGGTTCTGCAGGGCGTGTGTATGATCAGTGGGCAGGCAACTCATGCCTAAAGTAATGGTTGTAGTTTGACTTTTCCCTGCCCATGTGCTATTGAAAATGCCGTCTTTTCTGAGTCTTCCCGTCTGACTCTCTTCCTTTTCCTACCTTTGTATTTGGCCAGCTGGCTCAGTGGCAGAATTCAGCATGATGCGCTGCGGAAGCCCCCTCGGGGGGAGACGGCCATAGCTACTAAGGCAGAAGTTAAAGACTTTGAAAAGCCAGGAGAGTGTGGACAGCATGGGAGTCTGTAGGAGGAGGGCAAAGGGCAAGAGCGGTGGGTGTTAGCAAACTTCCATTCCCTGGACTTTATTCTGGAATGTTTCTCTTGACTGTTTTTACAGTGTCCTGGGTGCCAGGACGGTGGGACCCCGGCAGTGGGAGAGGGGGAGAAGAGAAGGTGGTGGGTTCTGTGTCTGTGTGAGAGTCCTCTCCTGCTGGCCTCAGACTTGAAGGGAGGAAGGAAAAGTGGCAAAAAAGATCTGTGGGGAGGAGAAAAGAAGTATCTGGCCAGGCCCAGAGAGGAAAGGACCCCTGGTAGTAGTGGTGGGGCAAGAGTAAGAATGGACATGTGAAGCTGGGACTCAGAACAGCCGTGGAGAGGTTTCCGGAAACTGGGTAGCTTTCTCATTCTGCAGCTCTTACTGATGTTTCTTTTTCCAGATCCGAAAACCAGAGCTTGATTGCTCTTAGGGTCTTCCAGTTCCCCTGGAAGTGTTCAGTCGTTGGGAGCAGATTTTAACCAAATGATGGTGGCCGTAGTTAAGACACAGAAGTTTAATATTAAGAGGATGGTTCAGGTAAATCCATGAATGTTCAGTCCACAGTGAACTACTTAAGGCAAGTTGGTTATCACTGGTTTAAAGAGAAAAATAACAGCTTTGTTAGGGTACCATAAAGTGCACCCTTTTAAATTGCACAGTTCAGTGGTTTTTAGTATTTTTAAAGGGTTCAGTCACCACTGTCTTTTCAGAACATTTTCATCACCCCAGAAATAAATCCTGTACCATTACAGCAGTCTCTCTCCATGCTCCCCTTCTTAGCTCCTGACAACCACTAATCTATTTAACATCTTATGGACAGGTAGTGTCCTACAACATGTGTGGACTTTGTGACCGTTTCTTTCACTTAGTATAATGTTTTCAGTGTTTGTTCATGTTGTAGCATGTATCAGTACTTTGTTCCTTTTTGTGGTTGAATAATATTCTGTTGCATGATATTCCACAGCTCGTTTATTCATTCATCAGTGGGTAGACATTTGAGTTTTTCCATTTTTTGGCTATTGGGGACATCGTGTACAGTTTTTGTGAGGACATATGTTTTCAGTTCTTTTGGGTGTATATGTCTTAGGAGTGGAATGGCTGGGTCAGGTGGTGACTTGATATTTAACCTTTTGAAGATGTCACTGATCTTTTGAAGCCTCTGTCAAAGAGAATCTCCATAGACCCCAACAGATATTCTCCATTGTGATTGAGAGGATACCCAAGATTGCTGTTGCTTTGACCCGTTGTGATCTTTACCAGCACCATGTTTTCCTGCTACCTACGGTCTTGGTTTTATATATACCCTAAATTGCCAACTGATTTTTTGAGAAGAGTTTGTTACAGTGTATGCTGTTGATTGTGTATTAGATGCCATGAAGTATGTGACATAAGCTCTTAATTAAAAATTACAAACATTTAGAAAGTAGTAAAGAATTCAAAAGTAGAGGAACTTTATCAAATTGGAACACTCTGCTTAATTGGCCTCAGGTTCCTTCCTTTGCCCAGAAATAACCATCATTCTGAATTGGTGTTAAAATTCTCTTTGTTTCATCCTGAAATAAAATTGTGATCTAAAGATCAGGTCTTTATAATTGAAATCTTATATAACCTGTGTGGTTTAAGTGCTAAAGCATTAGAGTGTTAAAAAAAATTTTTTTTTAAATGTTTTATTTATTTTTGAGACAGAGAGAGACCGAGCACGAGCAGGGGAGGGGCAGAGAGAGAGGGAGACATAGAATCCGAAGCAGGCTCCAGGCTCCGAGCCATCAGCACAGAGCCCAACGCAGGGCTTGAACCCACAAACTGTGAGATCATGACCGGAGCCGAAGTTGGACGCTTAACCAACTGAGCCACCCAGGCGCCCCAAGCATTAGAGTATTTTTTGTGGTAGGTGGAGTTGTAATAGAATAGCTGACATGTAGGAGAATTAGTAATCGTGTGTGTTTGGGGATATTGTGGTTCATATCTGACTACATGCAACCTGTTGCCATGTAGGCTTCTATGTCAGGAAGACCTTTCATGCTAAGAAGGCATGGTTGATGTTTTTTGCCATAAGGCACTTTGAGAGCGAGTAGCATCAGGTATCAGATGTTAGTGTTACATGGAGTGGTTTCTGTTTTGAAATGGTTTTGTAGGGTTTCTCAAGGCTCTTTTTAATAATTGTTGATAAAAAAAAGTAATTGTTGATTAGTATGTTGCCTACTGTGACATAGTATCTTTGACCCATTTCTGAGCAACTAAATTTTTAGATTAACTGCTAGTTTACATTTTCTGATTTTCTCTTCTCCTCACAGTGGTTAGTGCAATTAATTTTATGGCTTTCTGGGGAGAGTAATGAATTGACATTTGTCAGTTTGGGGGAAAATCATTGATGCTTGTTGCCAAGAAGTCATTTAAATAAAGCTGCTAGCTCTCAGCATGTTTTATAGTTTATTTAATAACTTTTTTTGTCTGTATTGATGTACCTACAAATATTTCCTGTGCAAGTTTTTTAACTTTAAAATTTTTCATAGCCTTTGTTAACTTCCTGTATATTGTAGCCTTAAAAAAAAAAAGTTCTCACTAGCAAATTGATGTCTCTAGAAAGTAATATTTTGATATATCAATTTTTCATTGATAAGTCAGTCAAGACTGAGGCAGGAGTTGTGATGTGCTAAAAGGCGAGGACGAGTGAGTGGCTTATATGTAGGATACTTTGGCAATGGGCAGCAAGAATTTTAAGATGTTAGTGTCCTTTGACCCAGAAAAGCCAGCTGTAACTAAAGGGTCTCGTCAGATTGTGCGTGAAGGTTGATGTACAGGTGTCCATACTATAGAGTTACGAATAGAAGTAAACAGTTACGTAGAAGCCCGCCGTCTCCAGCAGTCCGCCCTTGGCTAAATAAACCATGCTCAGTCTTTAAGATGAAATTGTATGCACGATTAAAAATTGTGTTTTTAATGATGAATTGATGGAAAATGTTCGTAATATAAATGGAAAAGGAACATTAGAGTGTGGTCCAAATTTTAACAACAAGAAAGAAGTAGGAAAAGAGGAGCTTAGGAAAATGGCAAATAAAAAACCCAGAATGTGGAGGGGCGCCTGGCTGGCTCGGTGGATAGAGCATGTGACTCTTGATCTCAGGATCCTGAGTTCACGCCCCATGTTGGGCACGGAGCCTACTTAAAAAACAAAACAACAACCCAGAATGTTCAAAGTCGTCATGTTCGAATGATAGACTTTGGGTAACTTGTTATATTTCTTATGTTGGGAGTCTTTAAGATCCGTATTAACATTTTTTGGAACACGAATTCTGAAATCCGAAAGAAACACAATTTACTGCATGTCATAAGCAGCCTCCTTTAGTTGGTCCGGTGACACTGATAAAACCTGCATCTTTAAAAACGTGCCCAGGTCACCTGAGTTCTTTATTGCTTGTGGTGGGGAGGTCGACCTTCAGAGCCAGTGTGATGGAAGCAGCACAGCGCTGCTTTCTAGAAAGGGGCTGCTGTGTGGCTTTGTTTTCACAAACTACTTTCTTTAGCACAGAAACCCCTTAGCCATCGGGCTTCAGCTTGGTGGGGGTTTCTTTGCTTTGTTACTGCGTGGCTTTTCTATCCTTTTCGTTTCCACGTGTGCTGCCATTAGAGAAGTCACTGTTCTTCGTTGTAAGTTGTTTCTTGATTAGCTGTATATCAAGAGAAATTGAGATGGTTATTTTAATGTCTGATTTAAGCACTTTGTTCCACCCGTTAGTCCGTCGGCTCTGTGTCAGAGGCCTGAGCGCATGATGGGTTACGGGCACGCGGCCTGGTGAGGGTGCCCGCCAGCGGCGCCGTCCAGGTTGCTACCTGCTGTGGGTTGCTTCCATGTGTCGACTGTGAGATGAATGTGTTCGTTTTGTTTGATTTGATATTTTTGCTTACTTGAGTGTCCCGAGAGTTCGACTATGACACGTGTGTTTCTCATAAAGCTGTTCTGCCACTTGTTTGAACCCTTGAGAGTTTCTGGGATTTTACTTTGGAGAATATCTTGACAAATTACACGGTCATGGGGCTGCTGTAGTCTTGCTACCATGTCTAGGCATATCTTCCCAACATATCTTCTTGTTCCTGGTCGTGTTGTTTGGCTCCGTCGGTAACTGAGTTTTTGTCTACGTGGTTTCTCCCAGTTTGGGTCATCCATGGTAATGACCTTGTTTCCTTTATCTTGCTAGTCACTACAAAATAACCAACGGTTTACTTCCTCCCGCTACAGCCTATTGAGCAACAGGGGCTGCAGATAATTCAGGAGATGAAGGGTTTCCAGGTTGTGGGCTTGTTTCTGGCCCAGCTGGCTGGCCTGCCTCCTCTAGGAGTACGGGATTAAACTTTGAAATGAGTCACACAGTTTGGAACAGTAGCTCATCTGTTTGCTCCCGCTGTTGACTGAAGTCTCCAGAGTGTGTGACAGGAAGGAAAACGGGGCTTTTAACTGATGGAATGCCTGTTCTCTCGCCTGGTAGCCAGGAGCCTGTGTGGCAGGGCGGTTCTGATAAGCTGCCCATTAGAGGCGTCGCCCTGAGTCGAGAAGAAAGGTCAAGGCTCCCTCAACCCTCTCCACACCTTTCCCTGTGCTTCAAGGTTCACTTGGGGGAAGTCCGAGCCTTGGGTTCCCCTGGTCTGTCTTCTTCCCTCACTGGGGTGGCAACTGATTTGCCTTTTTTGGGAAAAGAGGGCTTTATTCTTGTGAAGATTCCCAGGGACTCATGATTGTTTTCTGTTAAATAAGATACTGAAAAAGTTCTTAAATATGACTTTTGTTTACATGTGGGAAATATTGTTTCTGTAGAAACACATTCAAGTTTTCAATTGGTTAGGGGAAAACCATTCCATAGGAAAAAAGTCATTTTTCTTTTTCAAAAAGTGCTTTATTGACATATAGTTCACATACCATACAATTCACCCATTCAAAGCATATGCATCGGTTGGTATATTCGCAGGTACGGGCAACCGTCATCCCATAGTCCTTTGTAAAAATAGCTACCTTTTAAAAAAATGTCTTATTCACTTTTGAGAGACTGCAAGCAGGGTGGGGGGGGGGTGGTGGTGGGGGGGCACAGGGAGAGAGGGACAGAGGATCCGAAGTGGGCTCTCTGCTGACAGCAGTGTGCCTAATGTGGGGCTTGAACTCATGAACCGTGAGATCATGACTTGAGCCGAAGTCAGATGCTCAACTGACTGAGCCACCCAGGTGCCCCTCCCACAGCCAATTTTAGAACATTTTCCATCATCTTGGACGGAAATGCTGGCCCCTTCAGCCCTAGGCACTCACGGGTCTACTTTCTGTCTATAAATTTCCTGGTTCTGGACATTTTGTATGAATGGAATCACATAATATGTGACTGGTTTCTTTCACCTAGCATAATGTTTTTTTTTTTTTTTTTCAAATGTTTATTTTTGAGAGAGACAGAGTGAGAGCCAGGGAGGGGCAGAGAGAGAGGGAGACACAGAATCCAAAGCAGACTCCAGGCTCTGAGTCGTCAGCACAGAGCCCAGTGCGGGGCTTGAACTCATGAACTGCTAGATTATGGCCTGAGCTGAAGTCAGACGCTCAACCAACTGAACTACCCAGGCACCCTTCACTGAGCATAATGTGTTTAAGATTCATTTATGTCATAGCAGGTGTCAATACTTCATTCCTTTTTAAAAACATTGTGAGGGGTGCCTGGCTGGCTCAGTTGCAAGAGCATGCAACTCTTGACCTCGGGGTTGTGAGTTTGAGCCCCGTGTTGGATGGAGAAATTAAATAAGCTTTAAAAAAATAAAACATTGTGGTGAAATATACACAGCATGAAATTTACTCTTTTTAACCATTTTCAAGTGTGCAGGTCGGTGGAATTAAGGATGCTTGCACTGTTGTGCAGCCGTCGCCCCTACCCATCCCAGGAACACTTTCATCTTCCTGGTCTGAAACTCTGTCCCCGGGTTACACACCCGATTCCTCCTTCCCCCCAGTAACACTGTCCTTTGAAATTCAACTAGCTCAATCTGTTTTTAGTCATTTTGTATGTGTTTCCTGGAATGTGGTATATCCCTTTGATAGTCAGCCCTGCCGACATCTTGATTTTAGCCACATAAGACCTATTTCCTAGCATCTGAACTCCAGAACTGTAAGATAAGTCTGTGTTGTTTTAAGCCATGAAGTGTGTGGTCGTATGTTACAGCAGCCACAGGAAACAAAGACCTTTGTTTTATGCAAGTTTGTACAGATTCATCCTGATGTAAGGCTCTTGGGATTGTGTGGCTGGCACAGCACCTACTATGTGCTTAGCATGACACCTGGTGCTCCCCCACTCTGTTTGGTCTCCCTATCTATGAATGGGCGGCAGGATCAGCATCTACCCTGCAGGACTGCAGGGAGAGTGAACTGAGCTCACCTGTTGAACACTGCAGCCCAAGAAGCTCTCTCTCTCTCTCTCTCTCTCTTTTAAGTGTATTTATTTTGAGAGAGAAAGCACGTGGGGAAGGGGTAGAGAGGGAGAAAGAGAATCTCCAGCAGGCTCCACACTGTCAACATGGAAGCCAGTGTGGGGCTTGAACTCACAAACTATGAGATCATGACCTGAGCCAACATCAAGAGTCAGACGCTTCACCAACTGAGCCGCCCAGGTGCCCCATGGAGCTCTTAAAATGACTAAAGAAAGTGCAAGTCTTTTACAGAGGGGTGAATCTGAGGCTCAGAGAGATTTAGCGAGGTGCCCAAGACCACACAGCTACCACAGTAAGCGGCAGAACTGGGATTTGAAGCCCTGGCTCTGAAGCCAGTGGTCTTTCTTGCAGCATGATGCCTTCTCCCAGGACTGTCTCTTAGGGGGCCTACAGTCTCATTAGTCAGGGAGCCACGCCTAACCCACTAGACCTAGTAGGACAGTGCACATAACAGGAGGGAGTTGGAGAAGAGACACTCAGTGGGACAAGAGTGCTGTTGGTTATTGTCATCTTCAGAGAAGCTTTATTGAGCACTGACCATTTGGGGTCACTAGCCTTGAGTATTGAAGAGAGATATTCCCCCTGCCTTCAAGGAGCTAGCAGCGAAGATGGGGAAAGCTTCTTGAGGAGGTTGGGCTTTGAACTTGGTCTTAAACCGTAAGGAGGTAGTTTTTAGCAGAGTAAGGAGTTTCCAGATTGGGAGAGCACGATTAAGTGGATGTGTGATCAGCTGGATCGGTTGGTACTAGGTTTAGCTGCTTCTGACGGAAAACCCCAGAGTAACAATGACTTAACACAGAGATTTATTTCCCTTTTGTGTAAAGGGACACAAAGGTGGACAGGCTGGGCAGGTGTGGCAGCTCCGTGGGCTTGATGGGGATGCGGGTTCCTTGCAGCTAACTACTCCACCATTCCTAGGACGTGATCCAAGAAACTGCTAAAGCTCTGGCTGTATGTGCCTGGCGAGATCCCAGCAAGAAAAGCGGAAACAACACTAGACATTTCAACATAGAGAATTTAATATAGGGAATTGGGAATCGGCTGAACAGGTATTGGAGAACGCAAAAAGCAAAAACGGGACCCAGTGGCACACAGAACTGCAGGAAGCAGCCCCTTCCCTGGGCTGAGGGACAGAAGGAAGAGGTTGAGGTTACGAGACCCTGGAGCTGGAACCCCCAGCCCCCGTGGAGAGGGCGCTGCTGGGCTGCTACTGGCATCTGAGAACTTGCAGGGCACCCCCCCGGAGCCGGGGCCCAGGCCTGCGAGCTGGTACCCTGGGCGATGCCGGTGTTGGCGAAAGCAGCGGGGCTTCCGCTGTTGCTCCTGCCGCGCTCGGAGAAGAAGAGCCGGCAGACACAACATCTCCCTCCTCCTGCCTTCCTGCCTCCCTGCAGGACCCCCGCTGGCCGGACCTAACTGGGAGCGGCTGGCAAAGGAGATTTGTAACCGGTGGAGCCCCAGCCCAGCACCACAATGGAGAACTGCAGGGTAGATGTGGACTCAGAGACCAGAGCTTAGTTACCACTTGACACACTGTTGCCCGTGTCAGACGGCAGGAGAAAGGACAGGGAGAAAGGGGCAAGGCCCGTGCGTGTGTTTTAAGTTGACCTCCACAAGTCGCACAAACACCTCCTTTTATGCTGTATTTGTCAGCACCCGGTCGCATGGGCACACGTACCTGTAAAGGCAGCTGGTAAATACGGTCTTCGTGGCAGGCGCGTTGCTGCCTGCCTAAAATCTGGCTTTGCTTACCGAGGAAAGGGAGGAGAATGCCACAGCTGAAATTCCGAAATTGCTAGTTAACGTCAATCTGCCAACATGAACCCCCAGATGAAAATTTCTCCCCGTTCTCTTTCCGCCCCACGCGGCCTCCTGGTCCGTATCTTGTAGCCCTTGGCAGCCCTGGTCATTGTATGCTCGTAATACCTGTGTAATTGTGCACATGATGGTGTAAATTAGGTTTGTGTTCTGGCCTCACTTGGGGAGCGTAGCTTGACTGGGCTTTTTATGGATGGAGCAGGGAGAGAGCTGGGGACTCCTGTGACCAGGAGATATCCTCTAGAAACTGTGGTTTGGTCTGCTGGTCACTTTTCCTCCCAGAGTTGCACCTACTGCCACGAGATACCGCAGCCTCTGCGAGGCAGGCGTGGACGTGCTGCAGCATGTAGCCTCCCGCACTGCCCTGTGACTTTGAGTTCGGACAGTTTTATGTCTGCTTCCTTCGCTAGAGAGGATGTTTCCTGAGGGCAAGGCCCAGAACACAGTTGAGGTTTATGTTACCCTGGCTTCCGGCAGAGGGCTGTACTCACGGAATAGCTCCTTAAGATTTGCCAGGTGGATAAAACTAGGGCCGAGGGACTCTGACGTCTGCTGCAAATGGGTTGCTTCTTGTATTTCGTATTCCTTCATTGAGCTTGGTTCCTCTGTTCACTAACCTTCTGCTTCTGTACCTGATCATGTCCAGCCTGGGCAGGTGCGTTGTCCCAAAGGCAGTTCCTTTCCTGTTTTAAATGACCCCTGTGACTTGTTTCTTGTCTCTCTCATAGAGTGCAAGTTTCAGGGTACTGAGATCTCCCATTTCCACTGAGTGCTCCAAGGACCAGTTACGTTGCAAATCAAAAAAAAGAAAAATTTTTTTAATGTTTATTTTTGTGAGAGAGAGAGAGACAGAGACAGAACGCGAGCAGGAGAGGGGCAGAGAGAGAAGGAGACACAGAATCCCAAGCAGGCTCCAGGCTGCAAGCTGTCAGCACAGAGCCCGATGTGGGGCTTGATCTCACAAACTGTGAGATCATGACCTGAGCCGGAGTCAAGAGTTAGACACTCAACCGACTGACACCCCCGGGGTACCCCCGGTTGAGAGATTTTTAAGAACATGAAACTACGTTACTTCAAGTGGAAGGTCCTGGGGGAGGTGGTTTAAGTATTGCCCCGAGATTTTAACCTGCTCGTTGTAGGAATATAATGGAAATTTTGGATCATGGAAGAACATGGGCCTGAAAGAGTGCATCTGGGATTTCCTCTATTCCCAGTGCTGCAGGGGGTTCTCTTCCATCCAGGTCATTCCCTAGAGGCACCGACCGTGTGCAGGCGCACACATGCAGTTTAGACAAAACTCCCCCCCACCCCCCTCCCCAGCGCTAATCTAAGAAGAATAAGTTGGGAATTTGTCTGTTTTTAATATGACTGAATTGGTCTAAAAACCATGGAGCCTGTCATTGATATCGCGTGTATCCTAAGAGTTGATGGAGACTTCGATGAGAACCGTTCCCGTGGGACCCCGATTTCTCATCCATAGTTGCCCAAGAAGGTTTAGCTGACCTTGAAAATACCGATGCTTACTGTCCTCTTACTTCCAACAGAGGTGGCCTCAGTAACATGCTGTTCCAGTGCTCCTTACCTGACACCGTGGCCACCATTGGTGACGAGCCTCGGAAAGTGCTCCTGCGGCTGTACGGGGCGATTTTAAAGATGGTGAGTTTGTAGGCTGTGTGGGGTCGGGAGGGCCCTGTGAACAGCTTTCACCCTCTCTCTTGAATGACCTGGAAAGAGATTTTAAATACTTGAATGGTATTATTAAAACTATTTTTTACATACTGCTTTTATTTTAATCCGGCTGCACAACTGGGTTTTTTGCTTATATCCTGTTATGTTCTGAATTCCTGTTTTTGCTTATAATTCATTAGTATGCTAGTACAAATATTCTCAGCTTCATATCCAGAAGAAATATGATGTTGGTTAAGTCTTTAGTAGTGGTTATGATGCTTGGATTTTCCACACATTGAAATTTTTAGCTGAGACCTGGGTTGTAAAATTCTAATGTGGAAAGGTATTGTTTTAAATTACATATCCAAAAGGTTTTACGGGTACAAGGGAGTTCCAGTGGACAAAGTGTGATCTCAGTGGAGCTCTATTTATTAACTACCTCCATCGGGATTTTTTTGAAACTTTGAATTGGCTAGACTCATAATCTTTCTAAATTTTTGTATTACTAAATTGAATCTAACTTTCAATTAAAGTGCTTTATTTTTTGAATCGTCTTAACCGATTATAGGAGACGCCAAATGTCTGGCTTTTTTTTTTTTTTTTTTTTTTTAACTATTTATACTCTGAATTTACCATTTTACTGACCATACACACAGATGTTCATTTGCTATATTTCTGTGGTAGAATTTTGATATCCATTTAAATTTTCTTTGAAAGGGCCTATTTTGATCATCATAAAACGGGGAATAATTTTCTCATTGTTTTAAGAGACTAGTCTCAATTCAATCTGATAAGCAGATTATGTCCATGCCTACAATAATTTGGTTGTAACGTTCAGAAATATTATAGTTAAAATCGGTACTCTGTGTCATAACGTGACCGAGCCTTTTTGTTGGATAGTTTTTCCTCGGCGTTTTCAAGCTGTGCAGTGCTGAGGATCTGAAAGTTGGAAGCCAGATGATATGTTCAAGTTGTGTGTGTTCACCCAAGGAGATCTGAGGCCTCTTTGTGATGGAGCACACAGCGGACCCCGGCCCCTTACTGACAGTACACAGGCAGCAGGGTTCTAATGTTGACCACCCAGCTGAGTTTTTCATTTCATCAAGTTGTACTTTTAAAGCACAGTTTTTGAAAAACCCAGTTGATGTCCTTTTGGTTTTTATTTTTTTATTTTTTCTTAATTTTTGTTTATTTTTGAGAGAGAGAGCATGAGCGGGGAGGGGCAGAGAGAGAGGGAGACACAGAATCCGAAGCAGGCTCCAGGCTCCAGGCTCCGAGCTGTCAGCACAGAGCCCGACGTGGGGCTTAAACTCACAAGCCACAAGATCATGACCTGAGCCGAAGTCAGATGTTCAACCGACTGAGCCACCCAGGTGCCCCCCTTTTGGTACTTTTAAAGAAATCAATCTGTAGCCATTTTTTCTTTGGGGGACTTTCACATTTTCTAACCATTATGTCCCATTTCTGTTTATTTGTGTGCTTCCATTTAAGCTGCACTTTTAAAATACTTAAAAAAATATATATATATGTGTATATATATATACACATATATATACACATATATATATTTTTAAATGTTTGCTTTGAGAGAGAGAGAGAGAAGAAGTGGGTGAGGGGCAGAGAGAGAGAGAGGGAAAGAGAGAATTCCAAGCAGGCTCCACACTAATAGCATGACTGTTCACGGCTTGATCCCATGGGCTGTGAGATCATGACCTGAGCCGAAATCAAGAGTTGGATGCTTAACTGACTGGGCCACCCAGGTGCCCCTAAAATACTTTAATAACCAGCTGCTGGAATTGTGTATGATATAGACTGTTGTTTAAATCTGATTTATGAGGCTTTTATTTGTATTTATAACTTAAATAAGGGTGTTTTAAACGTGTGCTATGCACTCTTCCAGGTGCTGGGCTGAGCCAGTTGCCAGGTTCTGTGCTCTGTCTGGAGCCGCAGTTCGATGACGGGGTGAGGGAAGTGCTCGGGATCTGTGCTGTTTAGGTTGCTGGTCACTGGTCGTACGTGGCTATCAAACATGTGAAAATGTGGCAAGTGTGACCAAGGCTTGGAATTTTAAATTTTAATTAATTTAAATTACAGTGGTCACACCTAGCTGTGGCTACCATGTTAGACAGCGCAGCTCTAGAATGTGCTGTGTTATCTGATGGATAACTTAGTAAAAGCCACCGACAGCACAGCCTGGAACTGAGCAGTTGTCTCTTCCCCCTAATAAAGATTCACTATCAGTAGTTAATATTTTGTCCTGTTTGAAATTTTGGCAGTGTAGAATTACTGCCTTATAGTACTTAAATGCAATAGAAATGTCTGGAAATAGATATTTTTTTTAATGTCTGTTTATTTTTGAGAGAGAGAGAGCAGGTGAGCAGGGGAAGGGCAGAGAGAGAGAGTGGGACAGAGGACCCGAAGCAGGCCCCAGGTTCCGAGCTGTTCGCACAGAGCCCTAGGCAAGGCTCAAACGCACCAACTGTGAGATCATAATCTGAGCTGAAGTCGAGCACCCAACCAACAGAGCCACCCAGGCACCCCTGGAAATAGAATTTGTTTTAACAATTCTATTTTCCTATTCGTTTTTACAAAAACAAATAAAAAACCTCTTAGGTAACTCAAAATAAATAGAATAAAGCTACTCAAAGTGGAGTTAATCCTTACCAAACTAACAGAATGGAGTATGTTTTGCATATAATTCTAATTTCTGGGGGACACCCTACATTTAGCTTCTTAATGATGCTTATCAGCAAATGCCAGTTGCCGTTCCTGAAGGTGCATCCGCCATGCAGGGCAGAAGCTGTACCTGGAGGTGAGCAGCTTACTGACTGGACAGCAAACGTGTGTTTACAGTCCCACGGTTGACTTATTAGACAGTAATCTCATTTTTGTTGGAAAAAACGCTGTTCCTTTGCATTATAGGAGAGAACCCATTTTCAGCATAAATACTCGTTTGATTGAGTCCTTACTTCAGGAACACTTTTTTGGTTGAAGTTCAAGCTTACTAAAAATATGAAACCTACAGCCTCAAATATAAATATTTTTGGTTCCCAAAACCCAGGTTTTGGCGGGGGCACTGGTTGCCAGTGGAATTTTAGACATTAATGGCCACTGTTAAAGTGTTGGTCATTTGAATACCTTGACAACAGGGGGAACCAAATCCGGGGCTCTGGGAAATGACTGTCCAAGAGAGAAGGGGGTAGGGACAGAGCTTGAGCCCGGGGGACACGAACCAGGCAGCAGGTGCTGGGTCCCGGGGCCGCAGAAGCTGAGCTGTCACCACGTTGTGCCAGGGTCTTCACCACAAACTTAAATACCTTTTCCAGTATTTTCAGCTCAGATGTGAAGTATCTTTATTTATTTTGTTGCTGGGCGTGGGTTCAGTCCTATCGCCGATCAGCTTTTCAGAAAGAACCTGGCGCTGTCGTGGAAGGACAGTTAGGTAGAGTCTACCAGGAGGTTCCTGTTCCCACCCCAACAAAGCAGTTGCCAGCGTTGACAGTGATTTGTCAGGATTTGCATCGATGAAGAGACGTGGCTGAGCAAATCTCGAGCCCGCCTGAATAACAAATGCCATTACTCTCATAAATGTAGCGATTCAAGACAGAAATGTCATACAACTCAAATGTCGCGCTCTCCCCGTCTGTACTCTGCCTGCGGGGAGAGCACACGCATGCCTGTGCGTGGACGTGCAGTGTGCAAATAATCCGGGACCCCCGAGGTCGGCCGTAAACACAGTTGCGGCATCCTTGGAGGCGGGTTGGTATAAGCTCCTTCCTTCCGAATCGTTCACTGACAGCTACAGGTGATGATGGTCCCGTGTGTTTTCTCAGACTGTCCTTTTTTGTTTAATGACACGCTGGGCCAGGTGAGTTGAGTGTGTCCCTTCCTTCCCTTTCTCCTTCTCCTTATACGCTTTTGAGTTTTTTTTTTACCTCTGAGAATCAAATATGAAGTAGAAGTATTTCTTTGATTTACATTTACTATTATTTGCAAGTGACCCGGCTTAAAATAATTTGATGTTGCTCAGCTTTTCCATTTTTCTTCATCTTGGGGCTGCAGAACGTCTAAGATCCTAGCAGCGCCACGACTGATCTTTGGTGCAGCTCGTGGGGGTTCAGGCGGCACAAAGCCTACAGTTTCCGTCCCCAGACATCACTCTCCCCCAGCCCCTGTTTCTGTAACGTAGACACTGTGAGCATAAAAGTATCGGTCTGGTCTTAAAACAGCACCTGTCAATGTAATCGATATAATTCAGGGTCTGTTTCGCACGGCCTAGCTTTCACTTCAATGGGGCGATCTCCTCAGTGGCACAGACAGTGAAAACCGGATTCCTCTGTAAAATTACCCCGAAGCAAAGTGGGATAGTTTAACAGAAGCTGGGCAGAAGTACCAGTTCAGCCGCTGCCATTGTGGGAAGAGATGTAACTGCTAGAAGGAGCTTGAAACGATGACACAGGCTATAAATGTAACTTGGTTTTTTTCCTTTCTGACACTGGGAAGGAACACGAGCCCTGCAACGTCCAGCAGCGGCCTTTTCAAAGCAGCAAGTTTGGCTGATTACAAATAACCCGTTTGCTTATTTATCATGAATTGTGGAAGACACAAATGTCAGTACGTATTGTTCATTCAGTGTCACCTGTACCAGTTGGCAGAAGTCTCAGGGGATTGCTTTGTCCCTTCCTCGGTCAGAACAGCGACTCTGTGTGGAGCCAGTTCCTTCTGTGCATGAATGGAGAGATTTGGCCTTGCCGTTTTGAACGGTCTCACAGGCATGAACGTCTGGGATACACATCAAAGATCCCTCGAGCGTTGTCTGGGAAAATGTTTTTGTGTGTTCTTTGAGTGAGGGAAGGCTAATATTAATGCTTGTTTGAGTACTAACCATAATAAAATGAAAGGCATCAAGGCACAACGCAGATATGTGTTAATGACTCAAAAGAGTGCAATCTGGGACACGGTCTGTTTTAAAACCAGAAAGCAGAAGG